CGACGAATTCCTGGTGGAAATTTTGCGGAACTTAACGGAATTTTTCCGGCGGAAACTGGACCGGAATCCTGTAGTCAAGAAATCGTCAGAAGTCAACGGAGCCGACCGAAAATCAACGGAATCTATAGGATCTGCTGCCGGAAAACAAAGGAAACAAACGGTTCCGGCGATCGGAACAGAGGACCTGGGTAAGGACATTACTAAGGTATTTGTGAGACCTCTAGATTTTTATCCCTATACTTGAATATTGGTTTTCTACAAAAAAGATATTATTTAGATAAAAATCATCATACTTTTCGATTATCACTATGATTTAATGGTGGTTTATTGGCCACAATACCATTATTATGACTTCCAAAAATTGAACCAATTTCCATTTTAAGTTCATTTCGAAATCTAAGAAATAAAAAAAATACAAAATTATTTTTCTATATAAATATATTATAAATTTACGTCATATTTTTTCCATTATCAACATTTTGTCGTTTTGTTCGTTGATCAGGTGACTTTAAGAAAAAAAAGGCAAATATTTAAATTTATTTAATACGAAAACAAAGATTAAAAAAAAATAATTTACTTTAAAAATATTTGAAATAGATGAACGTGTTGATGTTGGTAATGGTGGTGGAGATGTTGGTATAATTTGATCATCTTGAAGTGATGTTGTAGAATTATTTGTAGAATTTTCTTTATATGATGAATCAATACGTTTAACAGTAACTAATTGTGGATGATCTTTTGTTGTAGTATGATCACTTAAATCAGGAATAACTGATTTAACATCTTGACGTGGACGAAATAATGTTGACAAATAACATTCAAAACCCTAAAAAAATAAATAAATAGTAAATTAATCAAAAATTGATTTTTATAACTTGATTAACAAAAAACAAAAACTGATTCTATATATTTCGAAGAAGTTTATTCATTTTAAATGAAATTTAACATTATTTAGCTCAGTTAAATTGACATTAATCCAAAGAAGAACATATTTATTATGTAGTCGAATTAATATTATATTATTTATTTGTTCATACGAGATAAAACAATAAAAATAAAATATATTCCTTGTCTTTATCCATCTGTTTGACGACGGGGTTCGTATATATACAGGGTGTAACTTTATAATATTCTTTTTTACCTTTGTTAGAAAACAATCTGATAAAGTTTATTAACATAGTTATATAGTGAATGATATTTAACATTGTGTTTCATATACACTCAAATTTTATTTTTGTCAAAGACACAATGAAAAGATCGTTCTGTTAGAACCAACTTTTTGATGTCTTGTGTCTTATAGAACAGGACGAAACAAACTATACTTTGAAATTCTTTTTGACATACGCTGATAACCGATACTGTGGTTACATGCCTGTCTAATACAAATGCACAATGTTATTTCAGAGCAAAGGTTGCTATCTATATCCAACACTTGATGTTTGTGTACTTTTCTTTCTCCTACTCTAGGTATTTAGTGAAGACTAATGCTCAAAAAAAAAAACATTTTTTACCATTTTTCTTGGACTTTTCGGTGTTATATTTGGTGATGTAGGAGTACCAATAGTTGATTGTGGTCGATCACTAGCTGTAACAAAAGGAAAAGTATTAAAACAATCAAGAATTGATTTACATCTCTTTTTCTTTTTAATTTATACCTTTTCGTTTTGAATCCTTTTTAATAGGAGATGTTGGTGATAACATTGTCGTTGTAGATATAGATGATGCTGATGAAGAAGGTTCACTACGATCAGATATTGGACTAATATTTGTAGTATTACTACTTGTAAGTGATTCAGTTAGATCAGGTAATGATGAATGTTGATCACGTTTTATTTGTAAAGAACGTTTACTTTGATAAAGAGTTTCATCATCACTTTCAACATCAATTTCTCTACATATATAAAGAAAAATATCAATAAGAAAAAAAAAAACAAGAAAAAGTAATTATTTTTCTGCGAACTACAAAAAAGAACTTTTCAAATGAGATTTATGTCATTAGATAGAGTCATTATTGAAATTTGAAAGTGATAGCTGAAAAATCTAGTGACATAAATCTCATCTAGAGAAAGATGAGAGAGATTCGTTTGTCAAACTAATAATAAATATTAACAAGACAACATTAAAAAGTAAAAGCATTTAATAGTAATACAACATAAATAACTTAATCTACCTGTTTTTTTTCTCGAATTCTATGATAATTAGTGAAAAATATTAGAAAAGAAAAAAGATAATTGAAATTTTTCTTTCTTTTACCCTTCTTGTTCTAATAATCTTGTTCGATTATCTTCTGTTTGTTTTAATCGTTCTAAAGCACCACGAGCACGTGTACGTCGAGGATTTGGTGCTAAATCAGTTATACGTTTTGTATAAATTTCATCATCATTATGTCGAGGCATTTTTTTAACTAATAAACATATTTCATTTATATGTGTTGATGAACGAAGTAAATCAGGAAAATGTATTGGATCCCAACCAATCTTTAAAATAAAAGATTCAATATTAGGAAACATTTTTATGAGTAGTGTCACATATTCAAAATTTTGGAGATGCGTCCACATCTCTTGCAGGAGATGCCGCATCTCCCGCGGAATCTCCTTCAGGAGACGCGGTCATTTTCCATTGGAGATGCACATCTCCCGCACCCACACTCACATCTCTCGCAGTAAATACCGCATCCTCCGCGCTAGACATGGATGCATCTCCAAAATTTTGTATATGTGACACTGCTGGAATTTAGATTTTTTAGGTTTTTAAAATTTTTCTTTTTTTGGAATAAATGACATACAACAACTTGATTGTTAATTTCAATAATTTCATCTCCAATATTAATTGCACTAAAACCAGAACCCAAATAACTAATAGCCTGAAAATAAAATCAAATTTTTGTTTAATATTATATTCAATAATTGAAATTAATTTACTTCTGTTTCAATACTTGAAATAATATGTGTAAAATCAGGCATTGTTGTATATTCAATATTCTAAATATAATCAAATTTTTTTTAAAAATGAAAATAAATTTTGTTTTTGTTTTTTTGTCTTACAACATCATCTTTAATTGGACGTCGTAAATTAACTCGTGTTAAATAACAATCTGATGAAAATAATGAATCTTTATTTTGACGAACTAATGAGATAGCAGTTGTTCGTAATTCATTAATCTAAATAATTTTTTTAAAAAAAAAAAAACGTTTTCTTTTTTTTATAAAATCTACTTCAAGAATTAATTTTGATTTTGGCATATTAATTTGATCTACAAGGCGTAAATTACGAATTAAAACACGTATCTGAACAAGAGCTTTGATTATTTTTCTTCTTAAATCAATATATTCAACATTTTCAATAAAAGGTAATCTAATAAAAATTCATTTTTTTTTTTGGGTTTTAGAAAATATTTTTTTAATCTACCTTCCAAGCCAATGACAAGTTTCAACAATTGCATTTGATAGATTACTAATAGATATATAAAATTCAGGTGAATTCATAACATGTCTATTATCATTTATTGCTTCATCATATCTTTTTAATAGATTAGAACATGTTATAGCTGTACAATGTATACGCATAAATAATAAAGCAAGTGTTTCACTATTTAAACGATTTGTCTAAAAAAAGATAAAATAAAAAAAATTAATAACAAAACCAAAAAAAAAAAAAATAATTATACAAGTGTAAGAAGAAGATCAATTGATTGCATTAAAATAAGTTGTTGATCAAGTTTTATAATACCCATATGAATTAAATCTTCACGTAAAAGAATTTCTAATGCAGCACCATTAATACAATGTTTAAGAAATATTTCACTTATATCTGATTGAATACCAGCCAAACCTTTAAGAAAAAAAAAACAAATTTCAATAATGGTTCATTTTTTTTTTTTAATATTTACCAGCTATCCATCTAGCAACTTCATGAGATTCCCAACGAGAAACCATTGTAGCTCGTTCTCGAGTTAATTTAATCGATCCATTATTATAATGCAATGATTGCATTTTCTTTTAAATTATTATAAAACTCTTTAATAATTAATATTCTATTCTATAGTATTAAATAAGAAAAAAAAATCTGTCATCTCATCTATCTATGATTGGTAAAATAGAAAAATCAATGAAGATTAAAATTACAGAGGGCGTTTGAATAGATTATTTGGTAGTAAAATTTAAAAGTAATTATAATTATCTATTCAGATATTTGTGTTACATGATATTTGATTAAAACCTCATATGACAGTTTCTAACCATAAATATTGTTAATATAGATTAAACTCTCAGAAGAATTATAAAACATGTTTTATTAGCAAATGCTTTTGCTTTTGCACTAGTGACATCTCTATAAAATCTTGAAAACATATAAGATAAAAATATTTTTACATGATATAATTAAAAAAGAAATATTATTATCATATGGCTTATCGAGAAATTCTTATTATTTTATCAAGAACTATTTCAAATAAAAATTATAGAGAACAGCACAAGCAACCATAACAAGAATGGCATAGTTGAAGTAAAATCTAACGTTGGACATTATACCATATTTGGTAATTCTTTTGACGTAATCCATGAGGGATTAGGCGAAACGCTAAATAACCTTCCGTTAAGATCGTAAAGTACTTTTCTGATCTTCTAGTTATGCTAGTAATCAACAGTTATTTTAAGATATTAAGAATGTTATCTTGAGGATATGAGCAAATAGAAAAGCATTATTCATCTTTTGATAATCAAAATTCATATGTATATATATATATACGAATAGCAATATAAAGCAAATTGATAGAACTATTATCATTTTGTCCGTTTTCACTTGAAGTACTTAATCAATCTTATCTGACATTCAACTAGTATCGATGAATTGTTGAATATTATATTTAAACTAATTGTTTTGATTATATCATTTTGAAACAAAAATCTGCCATTATATATTTTTTTTTTTGTGTACATAAAAATAAAAAACAAAAACAACCAGCTGTCATTGTGTCAAATAAATAAATAAATAAATATATATTAAAAATTAAATAAAGCTCGAATAGTTTCATTTTTAAGCCAAGCATCTTTAAATTCTGATACACCAATAAAACCTGATTTATCTTCATCTATTCTTTCAAATATTATATGAGCTGCTGGTTTAGGACCATCACTAATAACTTCAATAGCATGATTATTTGTTAAAGATTTATGAAATTCTTGTAAACATTTAAGTAGACGTTGAAGTTCTTCTTTTGATATACGATTATCACCATTTTTATCCATAATACGAAATATAAAATCAGCTTTTTCAATTGGTGATTTAGTTCGAAAAAATCTTATACTCATTATATATTCAAGAAAATCAATATAACCATCATTATTTGTATCAATAGCAGAAAATACACAATTACTAAAATATTTTGAATGTTGACTTTTTGCTATTGGTAAATAATCACCTAATAATTTTTCCATATGAGATTTTTTTAAACGACCATCTTCAGCAATAGAATAAAATTTTTTATGTTCATTACGAATTTCTTCATCTTTAAATCCAGTCATAGTACGACAACGATTGAGAATATCATCAGATAAAATTTTGTAATCTTCACCAGGTTTTCGTATTAAATTTCCCATGTAAACAAAAAGAAAAGAAAATAATTTTGGTCTATATGATTGTTGTCAATATGAATGTACGTGTTGGTTTTATTTTTGCTTTATTTCATGCTCTGCGTAGGAAGTGCAGAAATTTTCTTTTCATCTTACATTCACCCTTGCAAGTAAATAGAATGCTTTTTTTTTGTCATAGAAGAGACCGAAAAAAAAAAACAAAAATAAATTCGAAAACTAAAAGAAAAACAAATCATTTAAAATTATGAATCATCGGTAATGATTAGTGTTATAGTAAAAAAGGTAAAGATAACAAATGTAATATAAAGGTATCTATATATTAATAATTGAGAACATTCACAAGCATTGTATTCTTAATATACAACTTGTTTTATCTTATCAACTGTTGCATTTCAATGTTAAGATGTCACACTTTGTCTCATTACAAAAAAAAAAAAAGAAAAAAGGTAAATATGGTGTAAAATAAACGGTAGGACTTCTAGTGGCTGATGCAGAAATAATGGTGGACGTTTTTATGATTGATATTTTTGCTATCTTAGATAACCAGTGAAAACTTTTGACAAGTCTCATTTGATAGAGAATTTAATTCTCTACAAAATCTACTATTTAATTTAAATTCGAAAAATTTTCTCATCATATCAGTTGTGTTATTCATCTATGGATTTAAACATCATCAGAAAATTTAGCAATACATTTTCGCGTAAATTTTATCTTTAAATTAATTTTAGAAAGTTTTCGAATTTAACAATATTGATAGATTTAAAAAAAAACAATCTATCAGTTGGACTTAGGACGATGCAGAAGTACTTCAATTTCCTATAGAAAGCTTAAAGAAATTTTCTCTTGATATGTAATAATAGTAAAAACACTGCTTCAGGTTTTTTTTTATGATACTTGATCATTTTTCAACTAATATCATAATGATAGTATTTGGATAAAAAAATATTTGTTATGGTATGTTTTTAAAAACTTGATTAGTTACAACTCTGACCATTTATGAGTATTATAAAAGATGAATGAACTTATAAACTAGCTAAATATAAAGATTAGAAATTAAAAGACATGGTGCATTTTTGAAGTTTATATCTGTGAATAAAGCTTCAAAGATAATTGAAATTTGTAAATTTTAAATAATAAATTTCATAGAAAATTTAATTTTCTATCGATTACATAAGACAGAAAAACTATCTGATTATTTCTACATCACCTATCTACAGTTCAGTATAGGCTAAAATAAGTAACGGGTTATGCAAAAGTTCTTGGAAAAATGTCAGTCTCTGTTGTATTTGAACGGAAGGCGATAGAAATCTAATTCTTTTTTTGTTGGATAGAGCATCGTTTCTACTTTAAAAGAACATGTTTCAAAAACTCATTAGTAGTGAAATCCATTCGATTTTTCTAGAATCCCTACAACAACGTAGTGTAAATTTCTACAATTTTGCTTTTTACCTTCTTCGCAAAAAAAAAAAACAATATTTTGCCTTAGACGTGAAAATTTAGGCTGATTTTTGCAAGTTATATGCAACATGATATAAGCTTCAGTTACACATACAAATCATTGCCAAGTTTGATTATTATCCTCTACTTTTGGCAAGAAAAACTAATGTCCATTTTTTTGAAAATTTGCATATATCAATTGTTCAAAACTCTGATCATTTTATATATATCAATTTTTCAGAATCAATTAAAACAAAATCGATTACGATAAATCGAGCTTTTCAGAGACTACAAGACTATGTATAAAAACTTTATTAGATTGTTAGGTCTAAGTTTATTACATAGCTGAAACTGTAAAGTTTACTGTTGCGTAAACAATTGGAATTTATTTCAACATAATATTAAAAAACTGGATCTCTGTAAAGAAAAACCCGTTGGAGCTGATTTTTATTCTCTAAGTGAGTCTTAAGCAATTACACAATTAAGGAGTCATTTGAGCTCACAAGCACATGTCTTTGTGGAGATATGCCATTTGTATACTGTAAAAAACGTTTACAGACTGCTTTTTTAGGGGTTGCAGCAAAATAGAATGGATTCTGCTATCAGTGTATAGATATAAGTCTGCGAAATATGTTCTTTTAAAGTAGAAACGATGCTGTATCTAACAAAAAAAGAATTAGATTTCTATCACCTTTCGTTCAAATACAACAGAGACTGACATTTTTCCAAGAACTTTTGCATAACCCATTATTATATTATATAGATTATTTTCTTTCTATTACATAACATTAAAAATACTTTATTTTATTTATACATTTTGTTATCAATTTTTGATTTTTTTTTTGAATTAATTTCTTTGTAAGATGACATAATTCTATTTTAGATAATATTATAATAAAAATGAATTTTCGAAGTCGTTCATTTTTACTTTCACATATTCAAAGTATACTTGATTTTTATGATAAATCAGTTGATCCTCAAGGTGGTTTCTATCAATTTTATAAAGATGATGGAACAGTATATGATCCTTATACTCGACATTTAGTATCATCAACAAGATTTATTTATAATTATGCTATGGCATATATTCATTTTGGTAAAGATGATTATCTTAAACGAACACATCATGGTCTAGATTACATTCGAAATGTTCATCGTAATCCACAAACAGGTGGTTATGCATGGATTGTTTATGATGGAAAAATTACTGATGATACAAATCATTGTTATGGTTTAGCATTTGTTATGTTAGCATATGCATGTGCATTACGTATTGGTATTGAACAAGCACGTGAATGGCTTCGTGAAACATATGATTTAATGGAAGAACATTTTTGGTTAAAAGAAAAATGTTTATATGCAAGTGAAGCAACAGGTAATTGGAAATTAAAAGATTATCGTGGACAAAATGATAATATGCATGCATGTGAAGCTATGTTAGCTGCATACGAAGTAACTAAAAATGAAATTTATTTAGAACGTGCAAAAATTTTAGCTAAAGTTATGACAGATAGTTCAAAAGAATTACATTATCAAATTTGGGAACATTATTATCTTGATTGGACACCAGATTTTGAATATAATAAAAATGTTCGAACAAATATTTTTCGTCCATGGGGTATTCAAACAGGTCATCAAACTGAATGGGCAAAACTTTTACTTATACTTGATCGACATGATTCACAACCATGGCATCTTGAACGTGCTATTCAATTATTTGATCGTGCAATGAAATATGGTTGGGATGAAAAAAATGGTGGATTAATTTATGGTTATGATCTGGAAGGAAATTTCTATGATGGTGATAAATATTTTTGGGTACAAGCTGAAAGTTTAGCAACAGCTGCTTTACTTGGTGATAGATTAAAAGATGAAAAATATTGGCAATGGTATGATAAAATATGGGATTATAGTTGGAAATATTTTGTTGATCATAAATATGGTGCATGGTATAGAATATTAACACCAACAAATGAAAAATATTCTGATGAAAAATCACCAGCAGGAAAAACTGATTATCATACAATGGGTGTTTGTTATGAAATACTTAATGTTATTGATAAAGAATAATTTTTTAGGAATTTTTATTAGGTATTTATATTCAATATTAAATATATTGATAGAATATGAAAATTTATTTTTAAATATTTAAAAATGCAATTTAAATAATGTTATTTTGATCTTTTTTGTAATGAAATCTTTTTATGTTAGTTTATTATGATTAATAAAATTATTAATTGTGACAATGATTCTATTGTAGTTAAATTATAAAATTAGTAATATCCTACAGTTTACTTTGAAGCAGAGATGTCCATCGCGCCGCTGCCGCTGCCGCCGTGGCGGTGGCGGCGCGGCAGCGGCAGATTTTTTCCAAAAACTATCGCGGCGCGGCAGCGGCGCGGGAGAAATTTTTATTTTGCCGTCACGGCAGCTTTTTAGGAAAAAATTTCAAAAATTCATGAAATTGCACAGAATCTGCATGTTTATGTATGCTATACTGTAAGACTTAGCGAACCTGATCAATTAGCGGCATCAGTTCTAATTCAAACCAGTCAAAGCCTTGAAAATCAAAACATTTTTTCGAATACCAGCGCGGCAGCGGCAAGTTTTTTTTTAAGGCGCGCCGCGGCAGCGGCGCGGTAGCTTTTTTTAACAGGCCATCGCGTCGCGGGAGCGGCGCGGCAGCGGCAAGTTTTTTTAAGGCGCGTCGCGGCGATGGACATCTCTGCTTTGAAGTCTTCTCTCTGTTTTTTTTTTCATTGGACAAATACTTCTAAAACATCTCAATTCATTATATAGAGAAACTCTATTAACAATTGATTTCAACGAACAACACATCAGAAAAAATTCATCAACTATTGTGATCAAATATTTGTTGGAATTGATCACAAACTGGTGATCATATACGAATGAGAAGTAAAATATTGTGATATAAGAAAACAAAATTTGAATTGATGTCATTTAAATGAATTTTTCTCCATATGGGATTTATCACATAATTATTATTTCTCAAATAAAAATCTTATTAATGATGTATTATCATTTGAATATTAAAGAAGAAAATCGAGTTTGTAAATTTCTCTTGGATATTATTCTTATAATTACACTTCATCAGTTGAGAATGTAGTCGAAATGTATTTCTTCTTCTGAACTAACTGAAATAGACTCAATGTCTCCGAAAATAAAACGAAGATAATATTTACTTCTATTCTGTTTCATAGTTCAGAATATGATTCACGTAATACACTAAAAGTAATTGGTAAATTTAAAATTTTTATTCATAAGTCAACTTATTATTCGTTTGTTAAGACGATCGAAACAAATAATTCAAAATCAACTATTATATAAAAAGTTTTGTTCTATTAAAGTTTGTTATCCCATTGAGTAATGAAAAGTTACTCTAATTAAACTAATAAAAGTCATTGTGAATATTGATATTTAATATTGTATATAGATTTGAGAATCATTTTTATTTCATCAACTACCCTTTTTTCCTTTCGTTTTTCATTTATACATAAAATATTACAATTTGAATAAACAAAATTTTATTTACAACAAAGGAAAATAATTCCGAAAGTTTTCTGGATATGTCTTTGGTTTTGAATCAAAGAAAATATATTTCACTTTTGAACAATTTACACGAGCAGCATCAATTGTAAAATACTGTGTTGCAAATAACAAAAGTTCATAATCGACATATAACGTATTAAGACAAGTTAAACGTGTGTAAAAATCGAAAAGAAATTGTTCAACATAATCAAGAGAAGATCCACAGAGGTTAAGTATTGTAAGATGAGGAAATTCAATAATTGATGATGTTTGTTCATATTCATCTTGTATTAACTTCTTCTTTTGAGCACGTCTATTAGATATTGTCAATTTATTTAATAATGGAAAAGCTTGAGAGATTTGAGCAAAAAAATCATGTTCGAATGGATGCCAAACAGAACGTGCAACGAAGTGACGAACATTCACGAATAAACCACCAGGAAATTTATTAGTAAACATATACATGCATTCCAAAGTAAATGGAAACGAGTAAATATGGCATTGACCCTTGTTGATTGTACAATAATCAGTATAACATTTAACATTATATCCTTTTTCGATGAGTGGCCGTACCACATGATCAGGTGTTGGTAAAAGTTCTTCATCTATTATGACGCTATCAGTAATAATATTGAAGATAAATGTATGGAGATGTGACATATTACTAAGAATATCATTAACTAGATGATTACCATCAATGAATGAAATTCGACGATAAACAATAAGAGATATTGTAAGTTTTTCTAATTTTGACATTTGACGAAGTAATGGTACAATTTTATTATCATACTCAATTGTTTCACGAAATGAAATCAATGAGAAACATTTTAAATTAGACACAGTTTTCTAAAAAAAAAAAATAATTACAAATATAAAATGATCTCAAAATCATTTATATAAGAGTAAATCTAATCTCGAATTATATATTTAGAATTTTACTCATATCTTTTTTCATTGATCAATTTTAAAATGAATATTTGCTAAATTTCTATGACAAAATATTTCTTTATCCTTTTATAGATAATCTAATAAAACTGAAGATATTTTTGTCTAAAGTCATTCATCATAACATCAAACTTTCTTTTTTTTTATTATTAGAGAAATATTTCTTTATCATTTAATATCTCAGATTTCTTCATGCGATAAGATTTTACAAGATCTACGCCGTATAATAAGAATAGATTAATAGGATGTCAAGTTTATAATACTATTCACAATGATATTATCTTTTTTAATTGAAGAAGGTTGAAAAGAAAACGGAAATTTTCTTCTTTTCTAATAAAATTCATTCGAAATGGTTTCTACCAATCAATTTTACACTAGATTAAAAACTTCATCCAAAAATATAAGTGTTTTATTACTATGACAAGAGATAAAAGTATTTCTCTGTCATTTAAAAAAAATCTTACCGTATTATTGATAGTCATCAATGTTTTACGAATCATATTAATTTCTACAATAAATGTATGCGATTGACTAAGATGTCCATTAAGTAAATACAGACAATCATTAAAATCGTTAAGTCTAACATTCAAATGAACAATATTTGATGAATAACATGTTCTAGATGCTAAATCAATAAATGCTTTTGGTGAATACAATAAATCACTATACCAACTGTAATTAAAATGAATTAAATTCATAAACATTCGAAAAATAGTGGTAAAAACATTTTTAAACAATTCTCGTATATGTTGAGCTATGTCGTCTACATTAATCGTAACAGTTAAATGTGAGATTTGATGATTGAGAGTATAAACCAATGATGATTCATCTAAAATAATCAAATTTATAATTTCTCTGCATTTAAAGATTAAGAAAACAGATAGAATACCATTGAAAATACGACATGCCATTTCAATTGGAAGATTAACAAGACTAAGTTTATGAAGTTTCGAATAATTTCCAATGTGAAGAACACGATCTATTGATAATGAATCAAGAGTAAGAGATTGAATATTTTGCCGAATTCGAGGTAAAATTGAAAGACAGAATCGATTAAGTATTAAATTATTTCTTGAATTATCATGTTCATTTGATAGTATTGTTACGAAATTGATAGACTGTGTAAAAGTAATATCTCGAGCTAATCTGTCAAGTTTTTTATCGACTCGTATGAGTGAATATAATACATCCATATTATCAAGTTTGTTTAAAATGCTGAGCAACATTTCATCGCATAGATCAACGATATTGAGAGTTGAATTGTTCATGTTCAATTGTGAATGGCAAATATGTTGAATACAATCGTTTATACATATATGTATGCCAGAGATGTCCATCGCGGTTGAAAACTGACCGCTGCCGCGCCGCGACGATAAAAGAAAAAAGCTAACGCGCCGCTACCGCACCGCGATGATTAAAACAGAAAACCTACTGCGCCGCTGCCGCGACGCCACCAAAAATAACCATGCCGCGACCGCGCCGCTACTGCGATGATTGTTAGAATAATGTTGTGAATTTTACGATCTGTGACTATTCAGGACTAGAGCTGTTGTTCCCAATCGATAAGATTCGTCGAATCTCATAGTTTTGCACTTGCAAACATTGAAATTCTGTTCGAATTCATGCATTTTTGCATTGTTCTCCAAAAAAACCTACCGCTACCGCGCCGCTGCCGCGATAGTTAGTTAGACCAACGACCGCTGCCGCGCCGCACCGCGATGGTTATTTGAAAAAAGCAACCGCTACCGCGCCGCACCGCGATGGTTATTTGAAAAAAGCAACCGCTACCGCGCCGCCACCGCCGCAGCGGCAGCGGTCGCGCCGCGATGGACATCTCTAATGTATGCTCATTCTATTTCATAGCTGACGTCGTCAACAATGATTATATAAAAAAGCTTTTCTTGTTTTTTTTTTGAGTATGTTTTTATTATCGTTACGTCTATAGACGTTTACAGTAATATTAAATAGTTCGATGATGAATATTGTGACCTTTTCAACATAGTAAAATTTGTTCATAGATGAATTAAAATGTATCGTCAAGAATGGAACTATCAATAACAAGTGAGTCTATTTTAAATAGAAGTTTTTAAGATTTCATGTCTAATGTGTTTTCATTCGTTCCTGGAATTTTGTATGTCCAATATTTTCTCTCTAAAATGAACATTCTATTAAAATTGATATTTTTCTATATATTTTATTGTATGAAATACAGGTTTTAAGAATACATAATTAGTCGTAAATAAAAACGTTTTTTTTTGATATTTTTCTTTGTATCATTATTTGAGAATTCTATGAGATAAACTGATTGAAATATGAAGTAGAATAATACAAGCAATATTGGTTGACGTTTTTTTTTCTAATAGAGATTGATAAATCATAAAAAAGTATCATGAATATCGAACGAATTTTTAAGATTTTATCTGCAATAACGATTCAAACAGGCGCTGTTTTTCAAGCCTGTCATGAATAAAGCAGGCTGCTTTTGCTAATATGTCATGTTTTTTCAAATTTTCTTTACGAAACTTCGTTTATTATGCAGAAAATGTAAGTATCAAATATAGCAAGAAGAATCTCTAATTCTAGGCGATAAGAAATGATTTTTTTTTGTATTATTTTAACTGCAAAGAACTATGTTTCGTAATAGTATGTGACTACACTGTTCATTGACCAATTATTGATTTAGTTTATTCGTTCCTTTGGAAAAGTTACTGCTCGTGCATTTATAAAGATTATTATCATAATTCTAAATGAAATGGTTACTAAATTTTATTATTGTTGTTGATTCACATTTTGATTGTGGTAATATGTTTACAACATGAAATATCTTCAACCAGTTAATCAAATTTATCCAAAGTTTTTACCGTCAAAAATCACAGTTTTTTTCTGAATGTTAATATTTTGCTTTTGTGTTTTTATTCGTCAGTTACATACTGTATTCAATCAACAGAGGTTTTACTTATGTTCTTTTGATAATACATAACTACTTTGCGTAATTATAAAGATGGTTTTCCGTTTTCACTCAAATTTTATAATAAAATTAGTGCTTAGAAAAAGCATTCCGACCACAAGAAGCCGGCTTAACCCAAAGATAGACAGATAGTTCAGATCAATGAAAACGAACGACAGGCACAGGGAGACTGAAGAGGTTCATAGCCTATCGTAGACAGATCAAGCCTACTGAAGGTAGGTCTGTTTGAACCTCTGATCTGCAATAGTTGTTGCTAGAAACATTTTTAATAGACTACATAAAAAACAATCGGTTACGGAATAATTATTTTACTTTGTTGGTCAAATTTTTGAAATCCAGTCTGTTAATTACACATCAATTGAAAGATGAGTATTTTGTGTGAACTAGGAGACATTGCATCTAAGCCACAACCATCATAGCGCAATCAATCTTAATGATTTGGCTGGTATTTTTAACAGTAGATAGGCCAAACAAAATTAGGAAGATACAGAAAATTTTAGCTCAAACCAATGAATCATTTCGGGAATATAGACGATATAATTAAGGGAGGATGGACTATATTTGTAGTGTTTTTTTCGAGCAGTACTTTTCATTAAATTTTCATTTTCTAAACAAGAACTATAACCGAGATTGTTTTACTATATATATTATAGAACGTGGACTATCTTTTAATTGTTTTGAAAATACCTTTCGGCCGAGTTCTTTTGGATTGCTGTTATTTACCATTTTCAGAAACTGTCTCCACATCTATAGAGCAAGTTAGTCAAATCAACGTGATAGATTAGTATGAAAATGATCTCATTTGAAAGAGCACATTCAACTGCGTCAAATGGTGTTTACAGAAATTCGATAATTTGAAATTTTTTCAAAAATATCGTACTGTTTCATCGAAAAAAAACCTCCTATGAAGAAAAAAGCTGTACTCAGTATTTTTTATTTTTCATCATTATATATTCGTACTTTTGGAAAAATAATTATATATTCTGATAGCCCATACAATCCTCTACAATTCTATATATAAACATTTAGAACTATATTTGTTCGCTGAAGAACTCTCAAGCACACAAAGCACATCTTTATCATAATATATCTTCGAATCGGGATTTTTGCTCTTTGTTTCACTATGTTTTTTTTTTAATTGTTTTAACTAAAGATGTAAGATAATATGAAGAAAGTAATATATTCTGATAGCGCATGAAATTTTGCGTCTTCTGATGCATGATACAAATGGTTAATTCATTATTAAAAACATGTATTAGACAATGATCATTTGATAATGATAAACCTTCAATAATGGCATTCATAGTGTATTTAACAACATCTATAACCTTAAATTATCAAGAAAATTTCATAATTGAACAATATTCTTCTTCATATATGGTTTACTACTCAATGAAAAAGTTTGTTTTCTAAACCCGATAATATTAAATTCACAAGGTGATGATAAGGTTTTATTCAAAATGACATTAATAATAATATCTCGTACATGCATTTTAATCATTTCGAGGTCATTTTTCATATCTTCAGAAAGATCTATAAAGAACAGTAATGGTCGATAATATGGTACTAATTTAAGAAGTTGTCCAATAATTGATAAATTAGCATATTTTCTTTCTGTTAAATCTCAGTTTCTTCAGAAATAAATATGTTGATTCAATTGCTGCATTTGCTACTTTTTCTTGAAGATGATAATAATGTGGTGAAAGAAGAAATGTCTTTACATCTTTATTACTACAATCAACAGCTGGTATATCACCTGTTTTATCAATAACATCACCACCATGTGAACATTTAAGAACATTCGTCGGTTTTAATACTGATTCATCATCTTCAATTTCACCAACATAATAACCACTGGTAAATATTTTTCTTGATTTATTAATGGAATAATATTATCAATACATTCATAGTAACATGTGTCACAAGGTTTATGACAATTTAAACGTGTTGACATATTTATTGTAGTAATATTACTATCGAATGTATTTATTTCATCTAATTTTTTATATGCACTCTTTCCATACATTTCAATCCAGTTCGAATGACTATAGAAATCCTAATGTGTACGTAGATATTTATCTAATTGTTCACGTGCAGTTTTATACTA